GAGGAGGAGCCAGCAGGCTCCGTGCGCCCGGCGCGCCCTGCCCGCCTTCCTTCCCCGCGGCGCTGGCAGGAGGTCCCTCCCGGAAAGGAAACAGCGGGGGGCCCGGGGCAGCCGCTCCGGGGCCCGCGCTGTCTGGGCCGGCGGGCGCTCTCAGAGCCTCCGGTCCTGCAGGACCGGCCCCGGGGCACAGGGGGCAGGAGGAGGCCCTCCGGTCTGGCCGGCCTGGCTCAGGGGTTGAGCATAGACCAGGGGGTCAGGGTTCGATCAGGGCACACACCCGGGCTGGGGGCTCCATCCCCGGTGGGGAGCGCGCAGGAGGCAGCCGGTCCCTGATCCTCTCTCATCGCCGAGGTTCCTTTCTCTTTTCTTTTTGCACCACAGGTAGCTTCAGGCAGCTGTGGCTTCGCCCTAAATCTTTACTTTTGTGTGTGTGTGATTTTCTTTTCTTTCTTTTTTTTTTAAAAAAAAAAAAAAAAAAATATATATATATATATATATATATATATATATATATATATATATATATTTTATTATTGATTTTTTTTACAGAGAGGAAGGGAGAGAAATAGAGAGAAATGTCGATGAGAAAGAAACATGGATCAGCTGCCTCCTGCACACCCCCTACTGGGGATGTGCCTGCAACCAAGGCACATGCCCTTGACTGGAATCGAACCTGGGACCCTTCAGTCCGCAGGCTGATGCTCTAGCCACTGAGCCACACTGGTTAGGGCCATCCTCGTGGTTTTTGTTCTTGGTTGTTTGTTTTGTTTTGTTTTTTGGGGGGGGACATTTCTAGGCTATGCAGCTCACCATTGTTGTTTCTATTCCTCTCTCCCTCTCTCTTCCTCTCTGAAATCTTTAAATAAAAACACACACATTGCAAACGGGGAAGCTGGAGAACTGGGGTAGGGGCCGCCCTTGGGGGAAGCCCAGCACGTACTCCTCATGGGGACAAACACGGGGTGTCCCTGTGTGTGTGTGTGTGTGTGTGTGTGTGTCCCCAACGCCAGGGTCCCCCTGAGAGCCCTGCGGCCCACAGCGCCGCCTGGTGGCCGCTCCGAGGACGCTGCCCGGGGGCTTGTGGAGAGGAAGATGCGGAGTGACCACCGCGGGGAGCCCTCTCTGCCGAGAGCGAGACCAAGTGGACACCCTGGGGACCAGCAGGGGCCAGCGGGGCGCTTGAGGGCCTGGTCCCCCCGCTTCCCCAGCCAGGGTGGCCCCAGGGACACCCTACTCCCCCACACACACACCACACACACACACACACACACACACCAACACACACACCAACACACAGTCACACACACCAACACACACCCCAACACATACACCACACACACCAACACACACACCACACACACACACCAACACACATACACGTACATCAACACATACACCACACACCAACACATATACCACACACCAACACACACACCAACACACACACACCAACACACACACCAACACACACCAACACACACACACACACACAACACACACCACACACACCAACACACCAACACACACACACACACACCAACACACACACCAACACATACACCAACACACATACACACACACCAACACATACACCACACACATACACATACACCAACACACATACACCACACACCAACACACACACCAACACACACCAACACACACACCAACACACACACCAACACACACCAACACACACCAACACACACACCAACACACATACACACACACCAACACATACACCACACACCAACACATACACCACACACCAACACATACACCACACACCAACACACACACCAACACACACTCACACACACCAACACACACACCAACACACACCAACACACACACCAACACACACCAACACACACCAACACACATACACACACCAACACATACACCACACACCAACACACACACACACCAACACATCCAACACACACACCACACACACACACACACACCAACACATACACCACACACCAACACACACACCACACACACACTCACATACATACACACACGCACACACACGCACGCACACACCAACACACACACCAACACACACACCAACACACACCAACACACACAAGGGTCATTCCTGGGAGGAGAACGTATGCCATCTGGTGGTCAAACTGGGGAACTGCAGGGGTGCCCATGCACTCAAGGTCTTCACGGCCGGTCGGGATGTGCACCTGCTGGCCCCACCCCAGCAGCCGGAAGTCCTCCAGGACCTTCCTGCGGGACCCCTCCCTGGTGGCAACGGATTCTTGCGCCTGCGTGTAGCCCTATGGGGGCCGAGGGCAGGGCATGTGACTCGGGGACACCTGAGCCCCCCCAGACCCCACTGTGCATGCACCCACAGGCACGCGTGGACGCCCCAAGAACCCAGGCCAGGCCCAGCCAGCACCGCTCCGTGGCTGAGCATCGGTCAACCTAGGAACCAGGAGGTCAGGGTTCTATTCCAGGTCAGGGCACAGGCCAGGGCTGTGGGCTCCATCCCCAGTGGGGGAGGGGGGGTGCAGGAGGCAGCCGGTCCATGCTTCTCTCTCATCACAGATGCTTCTACCTCTCTCTCTCTCACACTTCCTCTCTGAAATCAATAAAAACAATTAAAAAAAAAACACCTCTATTTATCCTTCCAGAGATCAAACGTCGCCACGCAGCCTCTGGGGCTGGCAGGACAGCTCAGCTGCCCGCAGCTCAGCCCAGCCGGCTGCCTGCCCTTCCCCTGCACCTCCTGCCCCAGACCTCAGAGCTGCCTGCCCCCCGGGCCCTGCACTGGAGGGGTCAAAACCGTCTGCAGACTCAGCAGATTTTCCTGCTGTGTGTGTGTGCGTGTGTGCGCATGTGCGCGTGTGCGTGTGCATGCATATGCGTGCTCTTTCAAAGATGCCTGGGGAGGGCAACTAGGGGAGCTGATGTGAGAGAGAGAGAGAGAGAGAGGCTAGGACCCCCATTCCCCCTGCCCCATGGGACCCCCTCCCCTAGGGCTCCTCCGACAGGTCCCTGCAGCCGCCTGAACCAGGGCGGGAGGGAGGAGGGATGTGGGCGGAGACGCTGCCTGGGGATCTAAGGGGAGGGTTCAGGGGGGCTCAGAGCCTCCCCAGGAGGAGTGGGGGGCTGTTGAGGACAGCACACCTGCCGGCCGGAGCAGCTGGGTGGGGGTGGGGTGGGCCCCGGAGCAGCTGCAGACAGGTACCCAGCACCCGCCCCGCCCGCCTCTCCATTCAGCAGAACCCGCCCCACAGCCGGAGTCTCGTCCCCGCCAGCCAGGCCCTCAGACGAACCACATCCTCTCCCCCGGGGCCTCTCGGGGCCTCAGCACCCCACGGCTTCCTCGGGGGGGGGGGGGCGGCGGGAGGGGGGCCGGGGGTGCAGGCCCAGCCGGACACCCCACCGCCTCCCCCTTTGGAGTGGGATTGGGGCAGCTTTCGGTTCGGGCTGCCGGGAGACCAGAGCATCCGGGCCCGCCCTCCCTGGCGGGTTGCTCAGCGGGTAGAGCATCTGCCTGCGGGCGGGGTCCCGGGCACACATCTGGGCGGCAGGCTCCTCCCCGGGCCCGCCCGGCCCTGGCCGCCCCGGGCGCCTGCAGGAGGCCTCCCATCCCTGTGTCTCTCTCGCTAGACGGTTCTCTCTGTCTTCCCCTGTCTCTTCCTCCCTCTCTCTAAGCATCAATGGAAGAATATCCTCAGCTGATAGATAGATAGATGATAGATAGATAGATAGATAGATAGATGGATCTCCATCCTTCCTGCCCCCCCCCCCTTGCTCTCTGCCTGAGAGCTCGGTCCTGCCCCTCGGACGGCTGTGGGATCGGCCTAGTGGGGTGAGGGGAGCGCACAGCCCTCGGGGCTCGGCCGTGGAAATGGGGACACGGCCACCCTCACCCCACTTCCTCCTCCCGCCCTGGGCTCCCCCAGCTTCCGTTCCCCATAGCAACCACCAGCGAGGCCCAGTGGGGTGCCCTCCCCCCAGCCCCCCGCCCCCCCTCTGGTCTCAGGTAACCCTCGGGACGGGAGGGTGTTGGGGGGCAGTGGAGGCAGAGGCCAGGCTCGGGGTGCCTCCCCCCGGTACCCAGGGGGTCCTGTCCCCACCCCAGTCTCAGGTACCACCTACTGCCCAGCTCTGATTGCCCCCCTGGGGGGGAACCACCTCCAGAAGAGCACGAACGAGGGAGGGAGGGAGAGAGGGAGGGAAGGGACAGGGAGAGGGAGAGAGCATCATGGACCGGCTGCCTCCTGCAGGCCCCCTACTGAGGATTGAGACCACAACCTGGGCCCATGTGCCCTGACCGGGGATCGAACCCGGGACCCTTCTGCCCACGGGCCCGACGCTCTGTCACTGAGCTAAACCAGTAAGGGATATTATTATATTTTAAAAATATTTTTTTCATTGATTCCAGAGGGGAAGCAAGAAGGAGAGAGAAACATCAAGGATGAGAGAGAATCATCCATTGGCTGCCTCCTGCACGCCCCCCAATGGGGATCGAGCCCGCAACCCGGGCCCATGTGCCCTGACCGGGGATCCAGCCCTGACCTCCTGGTTCATGGGTCGACGCTCACCACTGAGCCACGCCGGCCCGGCTATAAGCCTTCTGAGTGGATGTCCCAGTCCTGGGAGGCCCCCAGGCCCTCCTATGAGCCGTCTGTCTCTGTCTCCCGGTGGCCGGCCCATCGCTGACCAGAGGCGGGGTGTGGCATGGGGCCCGGGGTGACCCTGGGGGCCCATCCCCTCTGCTCTGGAAAGTCCCAGCCTGTCCCTGCCCCTGAGCTCCTCACTCCGGGAGGGGCGAGGGCCAAGGTCCCCGAGCAGCCGCCCCCCGGGGTCCTCCGCCCCCCGCGAGCAGGCGGGGGCTGGACCGGCCGGGGGAGCTGGGAGGGCCCGGGCCATGGGCTCCCGTCCGGGGCAGAGGTCGGGGGACGCTCGCTGCCCGCCTGTGCCCAGGGGCCCGGCGGGAGGCACCGACCCCTGGCGGCGGAGTCGGGAGGGCGGCCGGCGGCTGGGTGTGCGTGGGTGGCGGCGAGGAGGGGCTGAGGGAGGAAGCTGGCTCCCGAAGCTTCCTTCGCCTCAAAGACAGACCGACAGACAGACAGACGGCCAGCCAGAGGCGGCCAGCGGGGGGCACAGCTGCTCCGGTGAGTCCAGAAGGAGGGGAGCTCAGGGGGGCAGGAACGGGCGAGGGGGTCTCGGAGGGGGTCTCACTCTGGGTTCCACGGGGCCCGGCGGGGAGATGGGTGCAGACCGAGAGGAGGTCCCTGCAGGGGGAGGGGCGGGTCTGCAGGGAGGGGCAGAGCCCAGGAGCCGCTCTGCACCCCTCCTGTCTGCACAGGCTGCTCTGCCCTCCCAGCCTCACCCCTGTGGCCTTGGGGACTCTGAGCCCCCCATCCTCCCCCCCCCACACACACCCCTCAGAGGTCACGACCCCGGCCCTGGAGGATGGGGACAGCCCCCCAGGAGGCAGGGGCCCCAGACCTCTGCACCCCTCTCCGCCCGGCCCCGGGGTTTGAGGTCGGCCCCGTGAGGCCACTTCCTGTGACGGTTGGGGAGGCAGGAGCCGGGGGGGATGGGCCGTGGAGGGAGGAGCACCCCCAGGTCTCCCTCCCCGGAGGAGACCCGAGGCCAGAAGGATCGGGGGGTGACGTGGGGGGCTGCCGGCCGTGAGGAGAGGGTCTGCTCGGGGACGAGGCCTCCCGGGGCCCGGCTGACAGGTGCCGGCAGTGGTGTGCCGGCCCTGCCCGTCCTCACCCAGCTCCGCTCGGTGCTTCCTCTCGCCACTCACCTGGGCCCGGCCGGGGACCCCGAACCTCGGTCTTGGGGAGCCCCCGTGTCCCCCCTGCCCGCTCGGCTCGGCTGGGCCCCTCCTGGACACTTGTCTATCTTCGCCCACAATCTCTTCTCTCCTCCTGCCCTTCCTCTCACGCTGGCGGCCCCGAGGCCCCGCGGAGAACCTGCTTCCCACGGCGACAGGGACACACACACACACACACACACACGTGCACACGCATGTACACACATGTATACACGTGCACGCACATGCACGCACGCCAGGGAAACCAGGAGGCAGAGGGCGGAAGGCAGCCTGGGCCAGGGACCCTTTCCTGCCCCCCCCCAAGGCAGACGGTCAGCAGCCTGGGGCTCTGTCTTTTTTTTTTTTTTTTTTAATATATTTTATTGATTTTTTTCAGAGAGGCAGGGAGAGGGAGAGAGAGTTAGACACATCAATGAGAGAGAAACATTGACCAGCTGCCTCCTGCACCCCCCTCCACTGGGGATGTGCCCGCAACCAAGGTCCATGCCCTGGACCGGAATCGAACCCGGGACCCTTGGGTCCGCTGAGCCGCACCGGTTTCGGCAGGAGCCCCTTTCTTGCAGGCGAATCTCGCGGCCCAGGGAGCTGCCCCGGCTGGGGCCGCCCAGCATGGTCCAGGCCCGCGGGGGGCAGCCATGACCCAGCCTCCGGCCGCCCAGGCCCCCGCCAAGAAGCACGTGCGTCTGCAGGAGCGGTGAGAGCCTGCCTGGGGGGGGCCTCCTGGCCCTGAGCCCCCCTGTCCCCTCCGCCCCCCACTCTGGGCAGGAAACCCAATGGCCTCATCTGCGTGTCATTTGCATGCCATTTGCATGCCATTTGCATGTCACGTGTGGGGCACCATTTCCTGTCTACCTTGCCCTTGTCCCGGGTCGGTGGGGAGGTCTCGGGTCCGAGACCTGTGGGTCCCTGGGGACCAGGCAGGGAGGGGGCCAGGTGGGTGGCGGCGGGGTGAGCAGCTGGGGTCACCGCCACCCGGCTCTGGGGAGCAGCCCTGAGGGGGGGCCGCAGCCCTGGAACCCGCTGGGCCCCGGGTGGGGGGACAGGAGGGGCCGGGCGACGGGGCGGGGGGGGGGGGCTGCAAAGGGAGCCGCCGTCCGTCCGTCCGCCCGCCCGCCCATCTGCCCGCCCGCCAGCCCGTCCGCCCGCCCATCCGTCCGCCCGTCCGTCCGCCCGCCCGTCCGTCCGTCCGTCCGCCCGCCCGCCCATCTGCCCGCCCGCCAGCCCGTCCGCCCGCCTATCCGTCCGCCCGCCCGCCCGTCCGTCCGTCCGCCCGCCCGTCGCGGCTCACGGCCCGCCCCCTGCCTGCAGGCGGGGCTCCAGCGTGGCCCTGGTGCTGGACGTCCGGTCGCTGGGGGCCGTGGAGCCCATCTGCGCGGTGAACACCCCCCGCGAGGTGACCCTGCACTTCCTGCGCTCGGCCGGGCGCCCCCTCACCCGCTGGGCCCTGCAGCACCAGCCGCCCGGCTCCCGGCAGCTGGAGGAGGAGTTCCTGGTGAGAACGGGGGTCTGGGCAGGGCGGGGGTCAGGGGCAGAGATCAGCCCGAGGCCTGTGTGCGTGCCTATGGGCCAGGCCAGTGGCCACGGACAGCAGGGGGCGGGGGCACGCCTGGGGAGGGGTTTGGAATGGGAGTGGGGGGATGAGGTCAATTATGTGAGACCGTAACCAATAACATTAAAAAAGAAAGAACTCGGGGGTCGCCCCGCCCTGGGCATGGGGGTCAGGGGGGGTCAGCTTTCTGGGCCCTCAGGGAAGATGACCCTGGGGCTCTGAAAAGGAGGGGGCCCCACCTTCCTCCTCTGCCCCCCCATTCACCCGGCCCTGCCAGGAGGGGCCAGACAGCCAGGCCCAGCTCCCCCAGCTCCCCAGAAAAGGGTGCAGGGGGCAGCCGGCTGGGAATGGGGTGCCGGCCATTCACAGGTGTCTCCCCCTCACCCCCCCGCCACCAGAAGATCCCCCCAAACTTCGTCAACCCCGAAGAGCTGGATGTGCCAGGACACGCCTCCAAGGACCGATACAAGACCATCTTGCCGAGTAAGGGCTGTGGCTGTGGGGGCGGGGGGGGTGTCACGGGGCTGGGGCTGGACTGGCCTGGGACCCGCAGCTGCCGCCTTTCAGAGGCAGCAGGAGGCCACAGAGACCTCCCTCCCGCCCGCCCCCCTGCAGCAGCCTTATCGCCCGTACCCCGGCCACACCCAGTGCCGAGGGCCCGGCTGGCACCTGCCGGTCCTTGTCTCCCAGGCGCCAGCAGCCTGCTCTGGTCCTGATTGTACACCCCCCCCCTCCCGCAACCGCCAGACGGAAGGCCCCTCTGCCCGCGGTGCCAGGCCCTGCATGCCCTCTGCCAGAGCCAGGCGGGCACCGGGAGAGCCGCGGGCCCTCCCTCCCTCCCTCTGAGCCGGTCTCTGCATCCCCCTGGGACCGTCCTGGGCCTGGGAGGACGGGTGGACACCCACCCACCTCCGGCCCCCAGACAAGCTTCCCGCAGCCCCGGCCGGTGTGGCTCAGTGGATAGAGCGTCGGCCTGCGGACCGAAGGGTCCCGGGTTCGATTCCGGTCAAGGGCATGGACCTTGGTGGTGGGCTCATCCCCAGTAAGTGATGTGCAGGAGGCAGCTGACGGATGCTTCTCTCTCATCGATATTTCTAACCCTCTATCCCTCTCTCTTCCTCTCAAAAAAAAAAAAAAATCAATAAAGTATATTCTTTTATTTTTTTAAATATATTTTATTGATCTTTTACAGGGAGGAAGGGAGAGAGAGAGATAGAAACATCGATCAGCTGCCGGCCTTGACCCTGCCCTCCCCCGCTCCCTGTGTCATCGACACAGAAAACAAGTCACTCCCTCCGCTCGGGGCCGTGCTGTAACCTCGGCCTCCCCTCCCTCCGGCCCTGCCGCGGTCGGGGCTCCCAGGTCACCAGATGGCCTCTGACCTCCGACCTCTGGCCTCTTGACCTCTCAGATCCCCAGAGCCGCGTGTGCCTCAGCCGGGCACGGAGCCAGGAGGATGGCGACTACATCAACGCCAACTACATCCGAGTGAGTGGCCGGCCGGCCGGCCTGCTGGGCGGGGTGTGTGTGTGTGTGTGTGTGTGTGTGTGTGTGTGGCTGGCCCGGGTCCTGACGTCCCCACAGCGCGCTCCCCCCCCCAGCAAGCAGCAGGCATCTCCCCTCTCCCTCTCCCCCTCCCTCTCCCCCTTCCTCTCCTCCTCCCTCCCCCTCTCCCCTTACCTGCTGGGCTCCAGCACCCGACCTGGCCCTGGTCCTGCCTGTGCGGTATCGCCCTCTAGCGGCCTGAAGTGGCAGGACAGGGGTCAGGTGCAGGGTTGAGGCTGGGACCCGGAACAGGATCCCTACCTGCCAGCGGGGGAGCAGGTGAAGGAGGCAGAGGGAGGAGGGCTGGCCGTATCAGAGCAGGACGCACAGGGGCACGTGCTGTCCGCCCAGGCCGAGGCGCGGTTTCCTGTTTCCTTCGGGGAGCGCGCAGCGGGGAGGGAGCCCCATGTTAAAGAGACCCGATGGGTGCTGGCCCCCTGGAACTGTGCGTCTCCCCTGCACGGTGTTCGGCGAGGCGGGGGGTGTGCCCAGTTCACAGATGGGGAGACTGAGGCTCTCGGGAGCCGTCGCTTGCTGGTGGTGGCACAGCCCGCCGGCAGAGGACAGGGTGGAGCCAGATGGTCCTCGCTCCAGAGCCCACGTCCTGCCCACCCACCGTGTGCATGTGTCTGCGCGGGCACCCCTGCATTCTACGCGTGCATGTGTGTGCGCGCACACGTGTCTGTGTGCTCACGTGTCTGCATGTGCACGTGCGTCTGTGTGTGCAGCTGGGTCTGCGTGTGCATCTGTGTGCACACATGCCTCTGTGTGCACGTGCGTCTGTGTGTGCGGCTGGGTCTGCGTGTGCATGTGTGTGCACGCATGCCTCTGTGTGCACATGCGTCTGTGTGTGCGGCTGGGTCTGCGTGTGCATGTGTGTGCACGCATGCCTCTGTGTGCACGTGCGTCTGTGTGTGCACTGGGTCTGCGTGTGCATGTGTGTGCACGCATGCCTCTGTGTGCACGTGCGTCTGTGTGTGCACTGGGTCTGCGTGTGCAGAGCCAGGTTCCCCGGAGCCGCCTCCCCTCCCGCTGCTCCTCAGCCCCCGTCCGTCCCCAGGGCTACGCCGGGCGGGAGAAGGCCTACATCGCCACCCAGGGCCCCATGCCCCACACCGTGGCCGACTTCTGGGAGATGGTGTGGCAGGAGGGCGCCCCGCTCATCGTGATGCTCACGCAGCTGCGCGAGAGCGAGGAGGTGGGAGCAGAGCCCGTCCGCCGCCCAACACCCCCCCCACACACACACACCACACACCACACACACACACACACACACACCACACACACCACACACACCACACACACCACACACACCACACACCACACACACACACCACACACACACACACCACACACACACCACACACCACACCACACACACACAACACACACACACCACACACACCAACACACACACACACACACACACCACGCACCACACACACACACACACCACACACACCACACACACACACACACACACACCACACACACCACACACACACACACACACACACACCACACACCACACACACACACACACACACACCACACACACCACACACACCACACACCACACACACACACCACACACACCACACACACACACACACACCACACACCACACACACACACACACCACACACACACACACACACACCACACACACCACACACACCAAACACACACACCACACGCAGCTGCGCGAGAGCGAGGAGGTGGGAGCAGAGCCCGTCCGCCGCCCAACACCCCCCCACACACACACCACACACACACACCACACACACACACACACCACACACACCACACACACCCACCCACACACCCCAACACACCCCACACCACACACACCACACACCACACACACCACACACACATACACACACACACACACCCCACACCCCACACCCACACACACACACACACCACACACACACCACACACACACACACACACACACACACACCCCTGGGGCAGCTCAGACCCCCGGAGCTGAGGGCACGGGTCTGCAGGCCCAGTGTGCGGGTCTCAAAGTCCCTGAGATGCGCCCGGTGGAGCTGGTGAGCATCCAGCGGCCGGGGAGGGTGGGAGGGAGGGAGGGGGTGGGTGGGAGGGTGGGAGGAGGGTGGGGTGGGAGGGGAGGGAGGGAGGGGGGTGGGGTGGCAGGGGGGGTGGGGAGAGGGGAGGGTGGAGGGAGGGAGGGGGGGTGGGGTGGGCAGGGGAGGGAGGGGTGGAGAGGAGAGGGTGGGAGGGAGGGGGTGGGGTGGGCAGGGGAGGGGAGGAGGAGGGGTGGGGTGGGCAGGGGAGGGTGGAGAGGGGAGGGTGGGAGGGAGGGAGGGGGTGGGGTGGGCAGGGGAGGGTGGAGAGGGGAGGGTGGGAGGGAGGGAGGGGGTGGGGTGGGCAGGGGACCCACTCCCCTGTCCGCTGCCCTGGCCCTGCCCCGGCTGACGGCCCTCCCCCTGACTCCCAGCCCCTCCCTCCTAGAAATGTGTCCACTACTGGCCCGCGGACGAGGACTCGTACGGCCCCTTCCGGGTCCGGCTGCAGGAGGAGCGGGAGCTCCCGGAATACACCGTGCGGCGGCTCACGGTGCAGGTGCCGGCCCGGGACCCGGGGCGGGGGGCTCTCCTGGGAGCCGAGGGTCACTCCTCCAGCCTTTCCCCTGTTCTCACTTCACTGATCTCGGAGAGGGAGGGAGAGAAACACCCATGAGGAGAGAGAATCGCTGACCGGCTGCCTCCTGCACCCCCCACACGGGGGATGGAGCCTGAACCCCGGGCCTGTGCCCTGACCGGGAATCGAACCCTGACCTCCTGGCCATAGGTCGAAGCTACCCACTGAGCCGCACCGGCCGGCGTCTCTTCCCGGCGGGATGAGTGTGACGGGCAGGAGAGCTGGCCTCCCGCTGGGGTCCCTGACCGCCCCGGGTCCCCGGGCCTCGCCCTCCGGGCACCAGGGGGGAAGGCGGCCCTGTCCTCCCCTCACCCCGCCCCCGGTGCCCCGCCAGCTCCAGGAGGAGTGCCGGGCGGTGAAGCACGTCCTGTTCTCGGCCTGGCCCGACCACCAGACCCCGGAGTCGGCGGGGCCGCTGCTGCGCCTGGTGGCCGAGGTGGAGGAGAGCCCGGAGGTGGCCGCCGGCCGGGGGCCCATCGTGGTCCATTGCAGGTACCGGCCCCGCCCCCTCAGGGGTCCTGGCCCCGCCCCTCAATGAACCTGCCGCCCACTGGCTCCTGGCCACGCCCCTCACAGGCTCCTGGCCCAGCCCCCAGGGGTCCTGGCCCCGCCCATCATAGACAGCTGGTCCCGCCCCTCAAGGCTCCTGGCCACACCCCCACAGACTCCTGGCCCCGCCCCTCATAGATACCTGGTCCCGCCCCCTCACAGGCTCCTGGCCCCGCCCCCTCACAGACATCTGGTCACGCCCCCACAGGCTCCTGGCCCCGCCCCCTCAGGGGCCAAGGGCGGCCTCACGGGGCTTCTGGCGAGGAGGCGGGTCAGAAAGTCCCTGGTCCGGGGCCCCTGCCTCGCCCCGCGTCCCCAGCCCCCACGCAGAGCGGGCCAGCTCCTGCCGCTTTCCCTGGGGTTCGGGGTGGAGCAGGGGGCCCAGCCCCGCCAGGTTCCCGCTCCCCCGTGACCCCCCTGCCCTCCCGGGCTCCATCCAGCGCCGGGATCGGCCGCACCGGCTGCTTCATCGCCACCCACATCGGCTGCCAGCAGCTGAAGGCGCGGGGGGACGTGGACATCCTGGCCATCGTGTGCCGCCTGCGGCTGGACAGGTGGGGGCGCGGGGGCGCCGAGCGGCCCCGGGGTCAGGGTGCTGGGGTCAGGGTGCTCGCAGGCACGTGACCACCCAGCCCTGGACCCCAGAGAAGCGGGGAGGAGGGGGGAGGATGAACCAGAACAACAATAAGACGATCAGGAAGAGGTAGCCTTGGTGGCGTGCTCCTGGCCCGGCCGGAGGCATCGGGGCCTGGCAGCTGCTGGTCAGGGGAGAGCAGGTGCCAGGGTGGGGCGGCCCCTCCTTGGCACTGCCCCCCGGCCCCCCAGGCTCAGCCCCGCGCCAGGGGCAGGGGTCTCCCACGGGGGAGAAGGCCTGAGGAGCAGCAGGAAGGAGAGAGAAGCACAGAGGACGAATCGGGGGACGGGAAGGGGCAGGGGGCTGCCTCGGGACTCATGGCCCCGTTGCCCCCACAGGGGGGGCATGATCCAGACGGCGGAGCAGTACCAGTTCCTGCACCACACGCTGGCCCTGTACGCCGCCCAGCTGCCCGGGGAGCCCAGCCCCTGACCCCTGGCGCCCTCCACCAGCCCAGGCGCCCCCTTCCCCAGGCCCGGGATGGCGGTGCGTCAGGAGAAAGGGGACCTCGAAACTCAGGGAGCGTGTGTGGCCACCAAACCCTGGTCAGCCAGGACCACGGCCAGGCTCCGGGCCTTGACCGCTGGCCACTCCTCTGCTGCCTCTAGTGCCCCCGGTGGCCGTCAGGGGAGCTGCGTTCCAGCAGACCCCAGCCGGGCAGCCGGGGCGGGGCGGGGGCTCGGCCTCCACGTGCACCGGGACATTTGTGCTTTGCCACCCGCCCGGCTGGCCGGTGTGGCTCAGGGGTTGAGCGCTGACCTAGGACCCAGGAGGTCAGGGCTGGATTCCTGGTCCGAGCACACGCCCGGGTTGTGGGCTCCGTCCCCAGGGTGGGGCGTTCGCCGCAGGAGGCAGCCGATTCATGGTTCTCTCTCATCATGGGCGTTTCTCTCTCTCTCTCTCTCTCTCCCCCCTTCTCCCTTCCTCTCGGAAATCAATAAAAATAAATATATATTTTTAAGAAAATATTGTACAAACATATTCATAAAAATAAAGAATTAGCCGAAACCGGTGTGGCTCAGTGGACAGAACGTCTGCCTGCGGACCGAAGGGTCCCAGGTTCTGCTCCGGTCAAGGGCATGGACCTTGGTTGCGGGCACATCCCCAGCGGGGGCCGTGCAGGAGGCAGCTGATCCATGATTCTCTCTCATCGATGTTTCTAACTAACTATCCTTCTCTCTTCCTCTCTGTAAAAAAAAAAAAAAAAAAAAAAAATCAATAAAAAACATTTTTTAAATAAAGAATTAATCCCAAACCACTCCAGCCCTGTATGGCCTTGGGGGGGGCGGGTCCTGGGAAGGGGTGAGCCGCCCTCTCCACCCGGACACGCCTTCCCGTTTTCCGGGGAGCGCACCCCCCCTAGCTCCCCCACCCTTACCCCCTCCCCACCACCCTCTGGGGAGGAATGGGGTGCCAGCCCGGCCAGGGGGGACAAATGAAACCAAATCCTCGCGCCCCGCCCCGGCCCCGCCCCGCCCCGCCCCGTTCCGGGGAGCCAGGCGCGCGCGCTCGGGCGCGAGCAGGACGCGGCCCCGGCTCTCCGGCTCCGGCTCCGGGCGCGCGGGGGGCGGCGGCGGCGGCGGCGACGGCGGAGGAGGAGGAGGCGGCGGCGGAGGGGGGGGGAGGAGGAGGCGCCGAGGCCACACCCAGCGGCGAGGCGAGCCGATCGGGCCGGAGTCGCCCCGCGCCCAGCCCCGCGCGCCCAGCCCCGCGGAGAGCCCGCGGCCCCGGAGGAGAGCCCGGCGCCCCGCGCCCCGCGGCCACCATGCTGGCTTTGTTCAGCAAGCTGCTGGACTGGTTCCGGGCGCTCTTCTGGAAGGAGGAGATGGAGCTCACGCTGGTCGGGCTGCAGTACTCGGGCAAGACCACCTTCGTCAACGTGATCGCGGTGCGCGGGGGCCCCCGGGGCGCGGGGCGGGGGGCGCGGGGCGGGGGCGCGGGGTTCGCGGGGGCCGGCCCCGACCTGTCTGTCTCCACCCGCAGCGCCTCGGGCAGCCGGGTCCCCGCCTAACGGGCCGGGCCGGGCGCCCGGGGCCTACACAGCCCATGGGGACCTGGCGGGAGCGCGCGCCCCGCTCTCCCTCCTCCCTCCTTCCCTCCCTCCCTTCTTCCCTCCCTTCTTCCCTCTCGGCTCGGCGGGGGCGGGGGACCGGGCACAGGCCAGAGGGGGGATCCCCTGCCCGCCGCGCCCGGCCCCTTCGCCCCCGCGCCAGGGGGCATGACGGGGCGAAAGCGCCAGGCCCGAGCGCGCCCAGCCCGCGGAGGGCGGAGGGTGGCTGACCCCGAGGCCCCGGCGCCTGGGGAGGGGGCCGGGGCCCCGCCACCAGCCCCACCCCGAGGCGCTAACCCCTTCTCGCCGGGAAAGGAAGGGGATCCGGGACATGGAGGGCCAGGGGGGTGTCTCCAGGGTCGTGGAGGCCGCTGAGGCCCCCAGGCCCGAGCCAGACGCCTCCTCCTCCAGGGCCCCTCCCGGGCTGGGCCTGGCGGCCTCTGGGGGTCCGGGCGGGTGGCATCGCACCCGAAAGGGAGTTCGGAGGCTCCGCCTGGCTCAGAAGTCGCAGGAGGAGGGGCCGGGGGCCGGAGATGACCTGGAGGGTCAGTGCCCGCCCAGGGGACCGGGAGGCGGAGGCCCCGAGGGCGCCCGGAGTCCAGCCCAGGCGGGTGCCGGGCGGGCGGGGGAGTTAAGGCTCCGTCTTGGAGAAAAAGGGGAAGGTGAGCTGGGGTGGGAACCAGGCTGCAGTCATGGCCGATGGGGCTGGGCCGCCCCAGGCACCAGGGACCAGGGACCAGGGACCGGTCCCAGCTCCCAATCCGGGGATTCTGGGAATGGAGGGTTGGCCAGAGACCAGGCCGGCAATGCCGAGAGAAGCGTGGCCGGCCAGCTGGGTGCCCCCTGCCGGGCAGGTGCCCCCGGAAGAGGCAATGCATCCATCGCCTGAGGCTGGAGGGGCCCCGGGGACGGCGGGAGGGAACGGGGACCCTGTGGTCCCACTTCCGTCTGGGCACCCGCCTCCCTTCTCCAGCTCGGCTCTGCCCGTGACCTCTGGCCCCGCCTGTGTCTGGGTGGGGTCGCCCGGCCCACGTGGGGGTTCAGCCCTCGGAGGTGCGGGCCCTCCTGTCCATCCAGGCCGTGTCAGACACCCGGGGGAGACGGGGCATGGACGGGGGGGGGGGGGAGGGAGATCTGGGGGTCCCTGGAGCAGGACTCGGGGCCTGACCCCGACACAGGCCAGCGTGGTGTGGCCTCCGGGCATCTGGACCCCGGCGATGTCTGGGGGAGCAGGGGGTGCGGCCAAGAGAAGACCCAAGCTGCTGCCGCCCTCATGGCCGAGCCAGGTGCCCCCCGTGGTCTCCGGGGTGGTCTCGAAGCTGTGTTCCCAGACAGGGTTCCGGGGAACACCAGGGGTTCCGTTTCCTCATCTGGGGGTTCCTCTAGGCTGGCCAGCGTCCCCTCAAAGGGGCTTCCCAGCCCGGCCGTGTGGCTCCGTGGGTCGCGCGTCGGCCTGTGGACTGCAGGGTCCCGGTTCCATTCCTAGACAAGGATGCGTCCCTTGGTTGCAGGCTGCCTCCCTGGCCCCTGTTGGGGGCTCACACAGGAAGCCATCCATGGATGTGTCTCTCGTTCATCGACGTTTCTCTCTCTCTCTCTCTGTCTCTCCATCCCTCCCACTCGCTCTAAAAACCGATGCAAAAGTAACCTTGGGTGAGGACTGACCCACAAACAGAATGAATGCATACATAAAGGGGCCCCCCGGGAAAAGGGGGGTTCCGGGGTCAGGGGTCACTCCAGGTCCTCAGGCCCGTGGGCCCGGCAGGCTCCCTGCCCGCCCTGTGCATACCCCCTGGAGAGCGAAGTCAGACCCGAGCCCCCCACCGGCTTCCTCCCTCTCCGTCCCCCGTGTGTGTGCGTGTGTGTGTGAGTGTGTGTGCGCGTGTGTGCGTGTGCGTGTGTGCGTGTGTGTGTGCTCCCTGCCCACCCTGTGCGTACCCCCTGGAGAGCGAAGTCAGACCCGAGCCCCCCACCGGCTTCCTCCCTCTCCGTCCCCCGTGTGTGTGTGCGTGTGCGTGCCTGTGTGTGTGAGCGTGTGCGCGTGCGTGGGTGCATGTTTGTGCGTGTGAGCGTGTGCATGAGTGTGCGTGCATGCACGTGCGTGTGTGTGAACCTAAAACTCGTGGGAAAATGGGGTGCTGGAGCGCAGGGGTGTCTGCCTGATGGGGAGGGAGAGGGCCGCCCTCCAGGACTTCGAGGTGGGGTGCCCGGGGGAAGGCGGAGGAGCGGGGGGAGTCCCGGGAAGATGGGTGTCAGGCTCACAGAGAACTTGGGGAGCCTGGGGGCCCACCCCAAGGGGCTTCAAGGTGCAGGCAAGTGTTGGGCTAGCTGACTGGAGGGTCCCCGTGGTCCCCCGACCCCGATGGGGACCTGAAATCTCGGGTAGCACCGAACCCTTTACCAGCTTTCATTCTTTCTTCTTTCTTTCTTTCCGTCTTTCTTTCTATCTTTTTTTAAAATGTATTTTATTGATTTTTTACAGAGAGGGAGGGAGAGGGATAGAGAGAGAGGAACATCCATGAGAGAGGAACATCCATCAGCTGCCTCCTGCACACCCCCCACTGGGGATGTGCCCGCAACCAAGGTCCATGCCCTTGACCGGCATCGAACCCGGGACCCTTCCGTCCGCAGGGCGACAAGCTATCTGCTGAGCCACACCGGTTAGTTAGGGCTCTTTTATTTATTTTTATTTTTTCAATCCTCACCTGAGGATACTTTTTTCGTTGATTTTTCAGGGAGAGTGGAAGGGAGAGGGAAAAACAGAGAGAAACATCGATGGGAGAGAAACACACCCATGGGTTGCTTCCTGCACGCGCCCCGACCAGGGCCACGCCAGGGCGGAGCCTGCCACCGAGGTACGTGCCCTTGACCCGGATCGAACCCCTGGAGGGGGGACCCTTCGGTCCGCGGCAGGCCTGCGCTCTGCCCACTGGGCCGCCCGGCCAGGGCTCCTGACCGGGCTCCCTCCTGAGCACACGCACACGCACGCCTGGGATAAAGCTTGTGAACCGGGCTCGGTGAGAGACGCGCCGCCATGACTGATGCCCACACAGAGCCATTGTAACCACGCACCGAAAAGCTACAAACTGTCTTATTGTCGGCGCCGGACAAAGGGCCGATTCACGGCGGGGCGGCGTGGGGGGTGGCGCGAGACGCCGTCCCTAACACTTAGGGGTGGTGTGGTTCCGGAACTTGCCCCCTGAGTGGTGTCGGGCCACGGGTGGTCCCCGGTGAGGAGCTGGGGAGCCGAGAGACAGGACCCGGGACAGGAGGTCCGCCTGGGGCTCCCCATTGGCGGGGTCACGGCGGCACTGGCGTCTGTGGGCTCCTGGTTCCCTGTGCCAGGCGGGCTTTTTAATTTCATGGGAGCCTGTGGGTCCTCTAGCTTCTTACCATTGTTTTGTGTGTGTGTGTGTGTTTTTAAAAAAATACATTTTATTGATTTTTTACAGAGAGGAAGGGAGAGGGAGGGATAGTTAGAAACATTGAGGAGAGAGAAACATCCATCAGCTGCCTCCTGCACACACCCCACTGGGGATGTGCCTGCAACCAAGGTCCATGCCCTGGACCGGAATCAAACCCGGGACCCTTCAGTCTGCAGACCGACACTCTGTCCACTGAGCCACACCGGTTAGGGCTCCTTACCATTAAATATATATTTCTTTATTAATTTCAGAGAGAGAGAGAGAGAGAGAGAGAGAGAGAGAGAGAGAGAGAGAGAGAGAGAGAGAGATCCATGATGAGAGAATCATGGACCGGTTGCTTCCTGCACGCCCCACCCTGGGGATGGAGCCGGCCACCCCCTGGCGCCTGTGCCCTGACGGGGACTCGAACCGTGACCTCTGCCACCTGCAGGGGACGCTGGGAGGCCTCTCACCTCTCGCCGTCCCTCCCGCAGCCGGGGAGACCCCTGGGGGTCCGGCCACTGCTCCCCCTTTTCCAACCCGACCTCTCCCCCAGTCAGGACAGTTCAACGAGGACATGATCCCCACCGTGGGCTTCAACATGCGCAAGATCACCAAGGGCAACGTGACCATCAAGGTGGGCCGGGGGCGGGGGACCCGGGCGGGGGGGAGCCCCGGGGCAGGGGGGGCCTGGGCGGGGGACACGGGCGGGGGGGTTAGCCCGGGCAGGGGGGGCCGGGCAGGGGGGGCCCTGGGGCAGGGGGAGCCCCAGGGCAGGAGGGGGCCTGGGTGGGGACACGGGCGGGAGAGGGGGGTTAGCCCGGGCAGGGGGGGGCCGGGTAGGGGGGGCGTGAGGGGGTGGGCTGGGGGGTTAGCCCGGGGCAGGGGGGGCCCTGGGCGGGGTGGCGGGCAGGGGGGACGTGGGAGGGTGGGCTGGGGGGTTAGCCCGGGGCAGGGGGGGCCTGGTAGGGGGGGCGTGAGGGGGTGGGCTGGGGGGTTAGCCCGGGGCAGGGGGGGCCGGGTAGGGGGGGCGTGAGGAGGTGGGCTGGGGGGTTAGCCCGGGGCAGGGGGGAGCCCTGGGCGGGGGGTGGCGGGCAGGGGGGACGTGGGAGGGTGGGCTGGGGGGTTAGCCCGGGGCAGGGGGGGCCGGGTAGGGGGGACGTGGGAGGGTGGGCTGGGGGGTTAGCCTGGGGCAGGGGGAGCCCTGGGCGGGGGGTGGCGGGCAGGGGGGGCGTGAGGGGGTGGGCGGGGGGTGGCGGGCAGGGGGGGCGTGAGGGGGTGGGCTGGGGGGTTAGCCCGGGGCAGGGGGAGCCCCGGCAGGGGGAGGGGAGGAAGGGGGGCCGGAGGGTCTGGCTGCCCGCTGGCTGCTGAGGCCGCCCCTCTTCTCGCCCAGCTCTGGGACATCGGGGGGCAGCCCCGCTTCCGGAGCATGTGGGAGCGCTACTGCCGCGGAGTGAGCGCCATCGTGTGAGTGCCCGCGCGGCCACAACCCCGGCTCCCGTCCCCACTGCACCCCCGGGGCCCAGGCTCAGGGCTGACCCCGGGGCCCAGGCTCAGGGCTGACCCCGGGGCCCAGGCTCAGGGGCCCAGGCTCAGGGCTGACCCCCAGGACCCAGGCTCAGGGCTGACCCCGGGGCCCAGGCTCAGGGGCCCAGGCTCAGGGCTGACCCCGGGGCCCAGGCTCAGGGCTGACCCCCGGGGCCCAGGCTCAGGGCTGACCCCGGGGCCCAGGCTCAGGGCTGACCCCGGGGCCCAGGCTCAGGGGCCCAGGCTCAGGGCTGACCCCCGGGGCCCAGGCTCAGGGCTGACCCCCGGGGCCCAGGCTCAGGGCTGACCCCGGGGCCCAGGCTCAGGGGCCCAGGCTCAGGGCTGACCCCCGGGGCCCAGGCTCAGGGCTGACCCCGGGGCCCAGGCTCAGGGCTGACCCCCGGGGCCCAGGCTCAGGGCTGACCCCCGGGGCCCAGGCCCAGGGCTGACCCCGGGGCCCCGGCCTAGGGGCCCAGGCTCAGGGCTGACCCCCAGGACCCAGGCTCAGGGCTGACCCCCAGGGCCCAGGCTCAGGGCTGACCCCCGAGGCCCAGGCTCAGGGGCTGACCCCGGGGCCCAGGCTCAGGGGCCCAGGCTCAGGGCTGACCCCCGGGGCCCAGGCTCAGGGGCCCAGGCTCAGGGCTGACCCCCGGGGCCCAGGCTCAGGGCTGACCCCGGGGCCCAGGCTCAGGGGCCCAGGCTCAGGGCTGACCCCCAGGACCCAGGCTCAGGGCTGACCCCCGGGGCCCAGGCTCAGGGGCCCAGGCTCAGGGCTGACCCCTGGGGCCCAGGCTCAGGGCTGACCCCCAGAGCCCAGGCTCAGGGCTGACCCCCGAGGCCCAGGCTCAGGGCTGACCCCCGGGGCCCAGGCTCAGAGCTGACCCCTGGGGACCCAGGCTCAGGGATGACCCCCGGGGCCCAGGCTCAGAGCTGACCCCCGGGGCCCAGGCTTGGGGGCCCAGGCTCAGGGCTGACCCCCGAGGCCCAGGCTCAGAGGCCTGGAGTGCCTGCAGGCCTCATGCCCATCAGCCCAGGAGACATTCCTGGGCCCCCACCCGCCCCCGCCCCGCCCCGCCCTCTCTGGGAAGTCACGGCCGGCCGCCCGTCCCCCAGGTACATGGTGGACGCCGCGGACCAGGAAAAGATCGAGGCCTCCAAGAACGAGCTGCACAACCTGCTGGACAAGCCCCAGCTGCAGGGGATCCCGGTCAGCGGCCCCGCGGGCCCCAGGGCGGCTGGACATGGGGGAGGCGGGGGGGTGGGGGGAGCAGGCCGAGGGCAGCAGCCTGGACCCGGGCCTGTCCTCCCTCCCCTGTAGGTCTTAGTCCTGGGGAACAAGCGGGACCTCCCGGGAGCGCTGGATGAGAAGGAGCTGATTGAGAAAATGTGAGTCCGGGGACCTCTCTCCCCAAACCCCGGGCACCTGAGAGCCAGCGGGCGAGCTGCTGTTCTCAGGGATGGCCACACGGGGGCAGCAGAGCCCACCGCCTGGGAGCCGCCCAGGCCCAGAGCAGAACCCCAACCCAGCTGCCCCCCCAAACCCACCCCTGCCTAAGGCCCATTCATCTCTGGTTCTCCTCCCCCTTCTCCCCCCCCCACCCCAGGAATCTGTCTGCCATCCAGGACCGAGAGATCTGCTGTTACTCCATTTCCTGCAAAGAAAAGGACAATATCGGTGAGTGGGTTTTGGGGGGGACCGGAGGGGGGCAGGGAGGACGGGAGGGACCCCCCCCAAACCCTCACTCCCACCCTTTCCCGGAAGCCCAGAGCGCGATGGCTCTCCTAGGGGTGGGGGTCAGGCGGTCGGAGGCCACATTCTTTTTTTCCTTTTTAAAAAAATATATTTTATTGATTTTTATTTTTTATTTTTTTTTTTGCCGAGAGGAAGGGAGAGGGAGAGAGAGTTAGAAACATCGATGAGAGAGAAGCATCCATCAGCTGCCTCCTGCACGCCCCCCACTGGGGATGTGCCCTCCACCAAGGTACAGGCCCTTGACTTCAATCGAACCCGGGACCCTTCCGTCCGCAGGCCGACGCTCTATCCACTGAGCCACACTGGCTTCAGCATCCTTCTTTCTTTCTTTTTCTTCTTTTTTAATATATTTTTTATTGATTTTTACAGAGGAAGAGAGAGGGATAGAGAGTTAGAAACATCAAAGAGAGAGAAACATCCATCAGCTGCCTCCTGCACGCCCCCCACTGGGGATGTGCCCGCCACCAAGGTCCATGCCCTTGACCGGAATCGAACCCGGGACCCTTCCGTCCGCAGGCCGACGCTCTATCCACTGAGCCAAACCGGTTTTGGTTTATCGTGGTTTTTTTTTAAATAGCGAGAGGGAGAGAGAGAAACATCTATGAGAGAGTGACATCATCAGTGAGCTGCCTCCTGCAGGCCCCTGGCTTCTGGGCACCTCACCCGCCCTGTCCGCCATCCGGAGCCTGGTCTCCCCCTGTCACACCCCAGCCCCCCTCCTGCTCGGCTCTGAGCCCCCGCCCCCCTGTCCGGGCGGGGGCTGTTCGGAGCTGATGGCTCTGGGCTTTGATGCCCTGAGGGTGGACCCTGTCTGCAGTCTGGGGGGCCCTGGGCCCGGTCACTGCCCCAGGGGGACGCCCCGTCACCCCCTCTCCTCTCCTCCTCCCCCAACCCCCCAGACATCACCCTACAGTGGCTTATCCAGCACTCGAAGTCACGAAGGAGCTGAGACGGCGGCCCCCCCACCCTCGGACCAGGGACCCACCACCCAGACCTGAAGCCGAGCTCCCCGCGCCCCCCCAAAGCCCTCCCCCCCCCCGCATCGCCAGTGTGGGGAGGGGCCCTCGGGGACCCCAGAGTCCTGTTCTGCTGAGGTTTGAACTCCTGTTTTTATTGTAAAATAAATCGCTCCCCCTGGTCCCCTAACCTCCCCCTTACCCATCCGCCCCCTCCCCCCGGCCCTCCCCCACCTGCTTCCCCCTCTCAGCAGCCCCGGCCCCAGCCCCCCAACCCCGACCCCGTCCCCCGACCCTGTCCCTGCCTCCTTCAACACTTCGGTTATCGTCCTGTGTGTACAGTATATATATGTATATATATTTTAATTTTTTAATTTAAGCAAAGACTAAAATCAACCATCTGATGCTGGGGGGGAGGGGCAGGCAGGGGCGGGGAGGGGCGGGCAGCCTGGCGGGGGGGGGGGGTCGCGGGCACGGGGGGCAGGTTCCAGCCTGGACACTGGCGGCCGCCCCATGCCCGGTGCCCGCGCCCGCATGTCCCACAGCCATGGAGCCCCCCCCGAGGCCCCCTGGTGCCCCCCTGCCTCCAGGGGGCGCCCCGGCACAGCCAGCTGCCCCAGACCACCAGGCCCCGGGCGGGGGCCCAGCACCCGTGTCCTGTGCCCTCCCAGGCCGCCCCCTCCCTCGGGCACCCCGCGTTCTGTCCTCCGTTTCTTGTTTGTTTGTTTTTATTTTTTTACAGCGGTACCAGGAGGGCGCTCAGCATGGGGGCGGCTCCGGGTTCTGTGTGTGTGTGTGTTTATTTAATTTAATGAATTGTAAAGTGAGGGCCCTTTTTTTTATATATATATATGTTCCAGCTCCTATTTTAACCTCCGTTTGGGACGCAGTCCTTGTAACTGTACTTTTTTTTTTTTTTTTTTTTTTTGCCTCCTAACAAGAAACATGAATAAATTAGCCATTTTGTGCTGGGGGGTGAGGTGTCCGCTGTTTTTCCCTCGCCCCGCCCTCGCCCGCCGCCTGGACCTGGGGGTCTGTCTGAGGGGCCCCCGGGGGCCTGGGCATCATGGGGGGGTCCTCACAGCCCGGCTGGGGCCTCCCCTGCAGCCTGAGTGGGTCCCCCCCCCCCCTCTCCCCGCGGCCCAGCTGCAGCCTCTGAGCGTCCCCAGGGCAGAGCTGGGCGGCCTCCTCCCTCGCCCCCTCCAGCCTCTGTCCCCCCTCCTCCCCGCGGGCCCCTCCTGGTCGCCCAGCTCACCGGGATCCTGAGCCATCTTGACCCAGTTTCTCAGTGGCCCCGCCTCCCCCAGCCTCCTCCTCCTCCTCCCTCCTCACCTGCCCCACAGGCAGGCCGGGCTCCTGGGGCCGAGGCCTGACCCTGAGCGGCCCAGCTGCCCCCCAGGTGCTGCCCGTGAGCTCAGGCCCCGGCCGCCCCCCCGGTCCCCGGAGCCGCCCAGACGTGGTGGCCTGGGCCCGTGGCCGGCAAACGGCGGCTCTCGGGCCCCTGGAGGGCGGCTCTCCCACGAACACCAGGGCCCGGGGCGTCTGTGTGTGTGGAAGAGGCGGCGTCAGGGGACGTTCACGTTTCCACGATGTGGCTCTCCAGAGCGCGGCCGTGGTGGTGCTGGGCTGTTTGGCTCTGCGGACGGATGAGTTTGCAGACGGCGAGGACGCGCCCCCGGCCGGGAGCTCGGGCACAGCCGGGCAGCGTGTGGCAAACAGCTTCCTGGCCGTCCTCACAGCACCCGGGCCCGGGCCCGGGGGGGGGGGGGGAGCTGGGGTCCCCTCTCCAGCGACAGGTGCTGGCCTGGCCGGAGCCGGGCGGGCTGTTTGGGGCTGTATCCTCGGGGGGGTGGGCGGGCTTTGGGGGGCCTTGGGGGGTTGGAGCTGGACACGCAGCTGGGCCTGCCCTCGCAGTGCCCGACGGCCCCCGGGGGAACTGGAGGGGGGACAGACCTGCATCCGTGTCGCTGGCCCCCTGTCCGGGGCCCAGGCCCGGGGTTACCCCCCGACCCCCTGCCCCTGCCCCGTGCTCCCCTTGTTCTCCTCCCACCTGTTTGGGGAGGGAGGTGTCCCCCGGACTCCGATGGCAAAGCTGAGCCGAGACCTCCAGCGACGGGTCCCGCTGACCGAAGTGGGGCGATGCCCCCCAAGTGCCCGCCCCCCACCCGCCTGTCCACCCGCCCACCTGCTCTGGGGGATCCACGGGTCCACGCCCTCCCCCCGGCCCCGGTCTGGGGGTGCCCTCCCCCCGGCCCGGTCTGGGGGTGCTCTCCCCCCGGCCCCGGTCTGGGGGTGCCCTCCCCCCGGCCCGGTCTGGGGGTGCTCTCCTCCCGGCCCCGGTCTGGGGGTGCCCTCCCCCCGGCCCCGGTCTGGGGATGCCCTCCTGGCCTCCACCCGGTCTGGGGGTGCCCGGCCCCGGTCTGGGGTGCCCTCCCCCCTGCCCCGGTCTGGGGGTGCCCTCCCCCCGGCCCCGGTCTGGGGGTGCCCTCCTGGCCTCCACCCGGTCTGGGGTGCCCTCCCCCCGGCCCCGGTCTGGGGGTGCCCTCCCCCCGGCCCCGGTCTGGGGGTGCCCTCCCCCCGGCCCCGGTCTGGGGGTGCCCTCCCCCCGGCCCCGGTCTGGGGGTGCCCTCCTGGCCTCCACCCGGTCTGGGGGTGCCCTCCCCCCGGCCCCGGGGAGCGAGGCCAGCGTCCAGCTCACGCCGCCCACCCCGCAGCCCAGCCGGGGGCCCCGGAGCCACAAAGGCCCATTGTCCCCGCCGGCCGGGGGACGGGGACACAGGACGCCGCCCGTTCCCAAGGCCCCGCCGGCCGCTGGCTGCCACGCAGGCCTCGCGCTGGCAGGCGGGGCAGAGGCTGGGCACAGCCTGGGGGACCCCCCTCCGCCCCCCCACTCAGCCCGGAGCTGGCCAGGCCCCAGGGAGAGAGGCCCCCAAACAGGATGCGGAGGGCCCCCCCCCCCTCCATCCTCAGCTCTGCCCAGATCCCCTTCACCTCGGTTCACCCCGAACCCTCCTCCCTCGGGACCGGGGAGGGGTGTGGAGGAAGTGCAGGCCTGCCATCCGCCCCCCCCCCCCCCAAATCTTCCTTCTCCACAGACAAAGCCGGGCCGCCATCGCCGCGGCAACAGGTCCTGGAGGGATGGGTGGGTCACCTAGCAACGGCCTTCCTCCCGGGCGGCAGGGCCAGGGCCGGGCGGCTGCCAGGATGGAGGGAGAACAAGGCCACTCAGATTCCGGCCGGGGAGGGGGAGGGGGAGGGGAGGGGAGGTGTGGGGACAGGGCGGGCCCAGGAGAAGGCGGCCCCGGGGCCCTCGGAGCCCCCAGGCCGACGCTCTGGGGGGCCCGGCGGGCGGACCTGCCGGCGGGTCTGTGGTTCTGACCCCGGGGCCGGGGCCGGCGTGGGCCTGGCAGGGCAGACGGTCCCCGGTGAGGGCCCCGGGCCAACGTTCTGGGCCCACACGGCCCGGACGCCCAGGGGGGGTGCCCAGGGCCGGACCAGCAGGGAGAGCTGGGGGGGCCGTGGGGGAGGGGGCAGGGGGTGGAGGAGGGGGGGAGGGGGTTGGGGGGATGCCCAGGGCCGGACCAGCAGGGAGAGCTGGGGGGGGGGGCAGGGGGTGGAGCTCGGGGGGAGGGGGTGGGGGGGATCCCCAGGGCCGTTTCCAGCAGGGAGAGCTGGGGGGACTGGGGGGAGGGGGTGGGGGACGGGGGGAGGGGGTGGGGGGGATCCCCAGGGCCGGACCAGCAGGGAGAGCTGGGGGGGGTGGGGGGGCAGGGGTGGAGCTCGGGGGGAGGGGGTGGGGGGGATGCCCAGGGCCGGACCAGCAGGGAGAGCTGGGGGGGCGGCGGGGGAGGGGGCAGGGGGGGAGGAGGGGGGGAGGGGGTTGGGGGGATGCCCAGGGCCGGACCAGCAGGGAGAGCTGGGGGGGGGGGCAGGGGGTGGAGCTCGGGGGGAGGGGGTGGGGGGGATCCCCAGGGCCGTTCCAGCAGGGAGAGCTGGGGGGACTGGGGGGAGGGGGTGGGGGACGGGGGGGGGGGGGGGGGGGGATGCCCAGGGCCGGACCAGCAGGGAGAGCTGGGGGGGGGTGGGGGGGGGGCAGGGGGTGGAGGACGGGGCGAGGGGGTGGGGGGGATCCCCAGGGCCGGACCAGCAGGGAGAGCTGGGGGGGCGGCGGGGGGGGGGGGGGCAGGGGGGGAGGAGGGGGGAGGGGCAGGCCAGGGAAGGCAGCTGCAGGCCCTCGTCCTGAGTAACAAGAGGAGCCTCAGAGGCTGCGGCTGGAAGCCCGGGCTCCCGGGGTGGGGGTTCGGGGGGGCAGCTGCTGGCGCCCCTCGAATGGGGCTTTGTGGAGAGGGGAGCGGGGTGGGGTTCAGGGGGTTCTGCTGGCTGGCAGCCCTCGGACTGACTCCGTAGGGTCCCTGGCTGAGCACCCTCCATCCTCCTGCCCCTCTGAAGCCCTCAGCCTGGCCAGCGTGGCTCAGTGGTGAGCGCCGACCTGTGAACCAGGAGGTCAGGGTTCGATTCCCGGCCATCCTGTTTGGGGGCCTCCTCCCCAGTGGGGGGCGTGCAGGAGGCAGCTGATCGATGTTTCTCTCTCATCCATGTTTCTCCCTCTCTCCCTCTCCCTTCCTCTCTGTAAAAAAAAAAAAAAAAATCAATAAAATTATATACTTTTAAAAACACATTTAAAATAAATAAGTAAAATAAAGCCCCGTCAGCCACAGGTGGCCAGGAGTCCCCCCTGGGCACTGCCCGCCCCGGGGGGGTGGGGGGCAGTCGGGGCGCCCCGATCACCCCCAGGAAAGGCGGAAGAAGTGCAGGGGGCACAGGGCTAGTTCTACCTTCTTTATTGTGTTTTAAGAAAGGCCTTCTACGGGGAGCCCCTACCGAGGGGGTGGGCACGGAGGAGGAGGAGGAGGAAGAGGAAGGGAAGAGAAGCTTCCGGAAGAAGACCCGGTGCCGGGAGGAGGGAGGGTCCAGGCTGGGGCGAATCCGGTCCAGAGAAGAGCCACGTCCCTCGGGCTGGTCCCCCAAGAGCCCCCGATTCCGGATGGGGGGCTCGGGGGGCTGGCACCGGCGGAACTGGGGCTCCCGGCGGGCGGGACGGGGCGCCTGGGGCGGTGTCTAAGGCTCTACACGCTTCCCAGCCAGCCCCGGCCTCCGGGACAGGAAGGCCCTGCGTGGGGAGGGGCCCGGGCACGACCGGAACCTTCCACGCCAGGCCCCCCGGCCCCCGTCCGGGCGGTCCCAGCCAGCGCCGTGGGGACGGGCACCGGGGCAGGCTTCCCCCGGGGCCGGCCTCAGCAGGGCGTGCCCAGCGGCAGCAGCCCGGGCGACCCCCGGGGCTTGTGGAAGTAGGCGGAGGGCGCCATCTCGGTCTTGAGCTTGGCGTCGGCGGGGCCGGGGCCGGCCGGGGGCCCCCCGCAGGCCTCGCAGCAGCAGCAGCAGCAGCCCCGGAAGGCCAGGCCCAGCGGCCGCGACACGCACAGCAGCACCACGGGCGTGAGCGCCGCCTGGAAGAAGGCGGAGAACTGCGCCACCAGGCCCAGCAGCCCCAGCGTCGGGCGGCTCAGCTCGGCGGCCAGGTAGGCGCCCACCAGGCCGCACGCGTGCTGGGGCAGCGTGCACAGCGCGAAGACGGCCGTCAGCCCCACCAGCGTGGCGTTGGGCCGGCCCCCGCCCTCCCCGCGCCTGCGCCCGCCGGGAGGGGCGCCCCGCACACGCCAGGTGACCAGCTGGCAGGTGACGGTGAACAGGACGGGCAGGCAGAAGTAGCAGCCGAAGGACCACCAGGTGCGGGCGTGCTGGTAGGTGAGGACGAGCGAGTAGAGGGACTCGGGCAGGCCGGCCGAGGGGCGCATGGCGCAGGCGTCGGCGGGGCCGGCCGCCGGCACCAGCTGCCACAGCAGCAGCTCGGGCACCGCCAGCGTCATGGAGCCCACCCAGATGACGGCCAGCTTGGCCAGGATGGAGCGGCAGTGCTCCGCGGAGGGGCGGGCCGCGGGCCGCGTGCTGGTGGCCACGTGGAAGCGGTCGATGCCGAGGGCGCAGAGGCTGAAGGTCGTGACGCCCAAGGAGGAGACCTGGCGGGGGAGACGGACGGGGGCGGGAGCCACGGTCAGGCCAGGAGGACGCGGGGCAGCGAGACCCGCCCACAATGTGCACGGAGGAGCATTATGGGTGTGTGTTTTTTGTTCATCCCCCCCCCCCAGGATATATATATATATATATATATTTTTTTTTTTTAATTTATATTTTATTGATTTTATTTTTATTTTTTTAAAAATATTTTATTGATTTTGTACAGAGAGGAAGAGAGAGGGATAGAGAGCTAGAAGCATCGACGAGAGAGAGTCATCGATCAGCTGCCCCCTGCACCCCCCCCCCCCACTGGGGACGTGCCTGCAACCAAGGTCCATGCCCTTGACCGGAATCGAACCCAGGACCCTTCAGTCCCCAAGCCGACGCTCTATCCATTGAGCCAAACCGGCCTCGGCTATATTTTATTGATTTTAGAGAGGAAGGGAGAGCGAGAGAGAGAGAGAGAGAGGGAGAAACATCAATGGTGAGAATCATTGATCAGCTGCATCCTGCACACCACCTTCTGGGGATCGAGCCTGCAAGCCAGGCCTGTGCCCTCGGCTGGAATCGAACCCGGGACCCTTCCGTCCGCAGGCTGACGCTCTATCCACTGAGCCACACCGGTGAGGGCCCGAGGCTATTTCTCCATTGGTGTTTTAGAGAGAGTGGAAGAGAGACAGAGAGAAACACATCGATGGGCTGCCTCCTGCACGCGCCCCGACCAGGAGGAGCCCGCAGCCCAGGTCCATGCCCTTGACCGGAATCGAACCCGGGACCCCTCGGTCCGCAGGCCCACGCTCTACCCACTGAGCCACACCGGTTCCGTGGTCTGGGCTCCGCCCCCGTCAGGTGCAAACGCATGGATGGTCTCGGGGGACACGCCTCGCACACGCTCACACACACACACACACACACACACACACACACACAGGCACACGCTCACCCTGGCCCCGTCCGGAGCAGCCGGGCCGGCCACCCTCCCCTGAGCCGGCGGGAAAGCCGCCTGGGAGCCAGGTTAAGCCGCCGGGGCCCCCACCAACAGAGGGCGAGACCACACAGGACCGCACCCGCGTCCCTCCCGCTCGGGGACACAGCCCCCCACTTAGTGTGGCCGCCGGCCGACCCCCCGCAGGGCGGCCGAGGGCTGGGCAGGCCACCGGCTCTCCCCTCCCTCCCCCCACCCACCCCTCACCGGTGTGGCTCAGTGGATAGAGCGTCGGCCTGCAGACGCAAGGGTCCCGGGTTCGATTCCGGCCAAGGGCACATGCCAAGGTTTTGGGCTCGATCCCCATTAGTTGATGTGCAGGAGGCAGCCAATCAGTGATTCTCTCTTATCTCTCCCTTCCTCTCTGAAATCAATAAAGATATATTAGCCATCACAGGTGTGGCTCGGTGGATTGAGCAGTCGGCCTGCGGAGGGAAAGGTCCCGGGTTCGATTCCGGTCAAGGGCATGGACCTTGGTTGCGGGCACATCCCCAGTGGGGGGCGTGCAGGAGGCAGCTGGTCCATGTTTCTCTCCGGCCGATCTTTCTAGCTCTCTGTCCCTTTCTCCCATCCTCTCTGTAAAAAATAAATAAAATATATTATTTTTAAAAATCAATAAAATATATTTAAAAATGTGTTTAAAAAAATAAAAATAAAATAAAATAGAGTCATTCCTGAGACAATCCCCACCACCACCCCCCACCCTTGAACTTGGTTGTGGACTTCACCTATCACCCTTCCCACGAGGAGGGCTGGAGGGGAAGAGGTGGCTTGGAGAAGGCCGGGGGCCAAAGGGTGGGTCAGGGTGGGTCTCCGCATATCAGCGCCCCTCCCCAGGCCACTTCCCTATCGAATTCCTCCCACTCTGAGCCCTTTATCTTAAGCACCACTTAGTCCTCCGAGAATTCTTTCAGGCCTGGCTGGTGTTGGTCCCTGGTTAGAGCCTGGGGGGGGGGGGGAGCCTGCACCTAAAGGTCATGGGTTTGATTCCCAGGAAGGACCCCGCGTCCCTGGGTCACCGGTTCAGAGGGGCCCTGGTCAGGGCTCCTGGGGGGAGGCAACACACCAATCCATGTGTCCCTCTCCCATCCACGTTTCTCTCTCTCTCTCCCCATCCCTTCCACTGTCTCTGAACGGCAATGGGTGCCGAAACCGGTGTCGCTCAGTGGATAGAGCGTCGGCCTGCGGACGGAAGGGTCCCGGGTTCGATTCCGGTCAAGGGCATGGACCTTGGTTGCGGGCACGTCCCCAGTGGGGGGGGGTGTGCAGGGGGCAGCTGATCGATGACTCTCTCTCGTCGATGCTTCTAGCTCCCTATCCCTCCCTCTCTCTTCCTCTCTGTAAAAAAATCAATAAAATATATATTTTTTAAAAATAAAATAAAAAACAAAGGACTGTGCTCAGGCCCCGGGTCACGGGGTCGTGAGGTCGTGAGGTCGGGCCCCACCCCTCCCGCGCCCGGCGGGCCCCCCCCCCACGCACACACTCACCTCCAGGAAGGGCACCGCCCGGCAGGACGCGTCCCCCAGCAGCCGCCGCTGGGCCAGCGCCTGGAAGACCACCACGGGCAGGCAGAGCACCAGCACCAGGAAGTCCCAGAGGGCCAGGCTGGCCAGGATGGCGTACCAGGCGCTCTGCAGCTGGTAGCTGTGGCCCACCACGCACAGCACCGCCAGGCTGGCCACCACGCCCACCGCGAACAGCGCCAGGGCCAGCAGCAGCACGGCGTAGGCCCCGTACGACCGCTCCGTCACCGGGTACAGCGGGTTCTGCATCTGCAGCCGCTGCCCGGGCGCCCCGGTCGGAGGGCGCCCCGCGGGAGGGCCCCCCGTGGCCCCGGGGCGGGGGCCGGGGGCCGCCCGGGGCGCGGTGGGCTGGGGGCCGGCGGGCGGGCGGAGCGGCCGGGGGACCTCGGCCCAGGCCTCCGGCACGTACGTCTGCACCCCCCGGGCCTCCTCGTCCTCCGTGCCCCTCCGGGGCCGGCTCCTGGGGGCCGGGGCCCCGGCCGGGAGCCCCCCGGGGGGCAGACGGGGGTCCCCGGGGCCGCCGCTCGGCCCCGGGGCCGCCGAGGCCACCGCGAGGGAGACGGCCAGCGGCCACAGCCACCGCATGGCCGACGGCGAGAGGCAGCTGTGCCGGGGAGAGCCGGTGCGGGCGGGGGCCCCGGTGCCCGAGGACGGGAGAGAGGCGGCTGGCCGCTCGGTCCGCCCCCGGGAGGCTTCTGGCATCGCCGCCCTCTCTCCCCAGTGGCTCCGGCCGCTCCCCCGCCCTCCCCGCCCCTCTGGCCGGCCGCGGGCTGGGCTGGGCCCTCTGCTGGACACAGAGCTCCCTTCTCTGCCCCGCAGGACACGCCTCCTCGGCGTGGCCGCCCCGCAGCCCCCGGGGGCCGCCCGCTCCGGCCACGGAGCCAGAAGGGACCTGGGTCCCACGGGGAGCGGGGGCGGGACCGGGGCTGGGACCCCGTCCGTCCGCAGACCGGGCTGAGGCAGCCCCCGTGCCTGCCGCCCTCATTCCCCAGCACACAGTCCGCCCCTGGGCGCTCAGCTGGCGTCCCGGCTCCCCTCACAGCAGCCCGGGGGGCTGGGGGGGAGGGACAGCAGGGCCAGGGTTCGGGTCACAGACCCCGAGGCTGCAGAGCAAGGCGGGGGCCTGGCCCACGTCCGGAGCCCCTTCCCTCGCCGCCGTGATCCAGGGGCACGCCTGTCGGCCCCCGGCCGCACCGACGCCCTGGGAAGCAGCGGCCGTCAAACACCTCGCCCGGCCGGCCAGTGTGGCTCAGTGGGTAGAGCAGCGGCCTGCGGACTGAAGAAGAGTCCCAGGCTCGATTCCGGTCCAGGGCACACGCCCAGGTTGCAGGCTCGATTCCCCCCCCCCGCAGCAGGGGGCGCACAAGAGGCAGCCGATGCATGATTCTCGTCGCAGATGTTTCTATTTCTCTGTTTCCCTTCCTCTCTGAAGTCAGTTTTTAAAAAATGATGAGAGAGGTTTCCATCTCTCTCTTCCTTCTCCCTTCCTCTCTAAAATCAATTTAAAAAAATTTTTTTTAAAGTGGAAACAGCCGAAACCAATTTGGCTCAGTGGACGGAGCGTCGGCCTGCGGACGGAAGGGTCCCGGGTTCGATGCCGGCCAAGGGCATGGGCCTTGGTTGCGGGCACGTCCCCGGTGGGGGGCGTGCAGGAGGCAGCTGACAGATGTTTCTCTCTCATCGATGTTTCTCTCTCTCCATCTCCCTTCCTCTCTGAAATAAAATAAATAAATAAATAAATGAATAAAAAATAAATTTTTTAAAGTGGAATCCGGTCCAGACAGGAATAGAGCTGCAGCCGGGCATGTGCCACGAGGGGTGGACCTGGGCCCAGGCCGAGCCCCTCTGCTCCTCCTTTGCTCTCATCACTGAGCCCCAGTCACCCCTCGTTGCCCGGGGGAGGGGGGGGGAAGGGGGGGGCGGGTGCTGGGTGAACTCTGACCCCTTGGGTCTGTGGGGACGGCTGGACCGGCAGTGGCCACTAGGGGGAGGCAGATGTCCAGTAACCAGGGCCTTGTTCCCCATCATCACCTCCCCCTGGCCGACCCCCAGGCCTCTGTGCCCCCCATGTCTCACCCCCCCGAGGGCGCCCCACATGCCCCCCCCCGGCTCTGCTCCTGTCCCAGCGGCTGCTGCGAGGACCACCCCTCCCTGCAGGCCGGGGGCAGGCGGGGGGCAGGCCGGTCCCTGGTCCGAGGCCGGCTCCGGGAGGCAGGACTCCTGGCCGCGGGAATGTCTGTGGGATCCCGGGATTCCCCGTCCTCCTCCCTCGGGGGAAAGGGTATGTAGGTGGGCCGGGCCGGGCTGGGCCGGGGTGGGACAGAGGCCGGGCTGGGCCGGGGTCGGGGGCTGGTGTGTTTGTAGGAAAAACGTTTGCCAGACACGTCAGGCGCCCGGCATGGATGGAGGCCCAGGAGCCGGTGTCCCTCTGATGTTTGCACCCCTCGGCGGACGGGGAGCTCACTCCCACCGAGGGCGCCCCCTCTGGGCCGGACCTGGCCCTGAAGCCGGAGCCGGGGCTGGGGGAGGGGCGGGGAGCCAGCCCCGGGTTCCCGGGAGGGAGGTGGGGGCGTGCCAGGGTCCTGCCCTCCAGCCCCCCCACACCCCCGCCCCGCCCTCTGGTGCTGGTGCCCCGCCTGGCAGCCCCTGGGACAGCGGATTACTCATTCTGGTGCCCGGTGCCCGGACGCAGGCGGCTAGCTCAGCACAGAGGAATGCTGGGAGGGGGAGGCGGGAAAGGAGGGCGGGCAGAGGGTTAACCCTTCCCGGGCACCAGGCGAGGGGGCCACCGCCTCCTCTCAGGGTCCCTGGCCATGAGGGGCACGGCTGTCCCCACCCGCCCTCGGCTGGTGAGTCCTCCCTGGGCACCGCCCCCCCTCGGGCTGGTGAGTCCTCCCTGGGCACCGCACAGCATCCAGCTCAGCGTGGACCTGGGAACCAGGAGGTCAGGGTTCGATTCCCGGTCGGGGCACAGGCCCGGGTGCAGGAGGCAGCCGGTCCATGATTCCCTCTCATCCCGGATGATGTTTCTACCCCTTCTTCTCTGAAATCAATAAAAAATATATCTGTATATCTATATTATTATTATTATTATTATTATTATTATTATTATTATTTTAAAGAATTCACACACATCTCCTCCCCTCCCAGCTGTGTGGCTGTGGGCGGGTCCCTGGGTCACACGGCCTGCCTGACCCCAGAGCTCAGGAGGGCGAGCAAGACAGTCCCAGAGGCCGGGTGGGGTGGTGGCTGTTCGGAGCGGCTGGACACCCGAGGCAGTGCAGACCCCCGGGGTGTGCGTCCTGGTGGGGCCCCTCCTCCCTCCTCACGGGGGGGGGGGGAGGTGCACGGACGGGATGGGGGAGGCAATGCTTGGAGGGTCCCTGTGCTCAGGAGGGAGGTGGGCAGAGCCGAAACCGGTGCGGCTCAGTGGAGAGAGCGCCAGACTGGACGGAAGGGTCCCGGGTTCGATTCCGGTCCAGGGCGTGGACCTTGGCTGCAGGCACATCCCCAGTGGAGGGTGTGCAGGAGGCAGCTGATGGACGTTTCTCTCTCATCGATGTTTCTAGCTCTCTCTCCCTCTCCCTTCCTCTCTGTAAAAAAAAAAAAAAAAAATCAATAAAATATACATATTTTTTAAAAGTATTAAAAGAAGAATTGCAAGTGAAAAATCGAACAACAAGTCAAAACAGCGGACCTTAATACATATGTCATATACCATTACATCTAAATAATAATAATAATAAAATAAAGTAAAAAAAATATATTTAAAAAATTATAAAACATAATATATGTACACAGGTAATAATTTAATAAAAAATGTAAAAAAGCCGGGACCGGTTTGGCTCAGTGGATAGAGCGTCGGCCTGCGGACTGAAAGGTCCCGGGTTCGATTCCGGTCAAGGGCATGTACCTTGGTTGCAGGCACATTCCCAGTGGGGGGTGTGCAAGAGGCACCTGGTCAATATTTCTTTCTCATCGACGTTTCTGACTCTCTGTCCCTCTCAATTCCTCTCTGTGTAATATCAATAAAATATATTTAAAAAATGTAAAAAAATTAAAAATTAAATAATAATAAACAATAACAATAATTTTTTAAAAAGGAGGCAGGCAGAGGGCCCCGAGCAGACGCCCTGGACCTCAGACCCCACGGGGTCCGTCCGTCTCCGGTCAGGTCCCACCTCCGTCCACCCCGTCCTCTCCCGGCTGCCGGACAGGCTGGGCCGGACGGGGCGGACGGGGTGTGACGTCAGGGCCACAGCCCAGGGGTGGAGGCGGGAATTTCCCAGAGGCACCGGAGCTAAAGATAGCTGCCCTCGGGGACCCGCCCCAAGGCTGGTTCCTTGGAACTGGCCCGGTCACCGGGCGCTGGCCCTGGGGGAGGGGCAGGGGTTGTGGTCCGAGGCCGGCCCCCTGGCCTCCTGCCTGCCTGCAGGGCCCGCTGGGCTGCTTGCTCCAAAGCTGCTCTAGGAGTGTCCAGGCTGTCCAGCCCCGGCCGAGTGCATGCACCGGTTGGCACAGCCGTTGCATCTGCAGGGCTGGGCGGGCGGGCGGGTCCAGCGAGGCCGGGCCTCGGGGCTCCGTACGGCTCCGTGGTTGATCATCGACCTAGAATCCAGGAGGTCACGGTCAGGGCACAGGCCTGGGCGGCAGGCTCCATCCCCAGCAGGAGGCAGCAGACCCATGATCCTCTCTCATCTCATCACAGATGTTTCTCTCTCTCTCTCTCCCTCTCCCTTCCTGTGTGACATCAGTGAAACACGCCTTTTATAAAAACATAAAGTAGGGAAATAATATCCGCCCTCACCGGTGTGGCTCAGTGGATAGAGCGTCGGCCTGCGGACTGAAGGGTCCCGGGTACGATGCCGGTCAAGGGCATGGACCTTGGTTGCGGGCACATCCCCGGTGGGGGGGGTGCAGGAGGCAGCGGATGGATGTTTCTCTCTCATCGATGTTTCTGACTTTCTATCCCTCTCCCTTCCTCTCTGTAAAAAAAAAAATCAATAAAATATACATTTTTTAAATTAAAAAACCAGCCTGCTCTCTTTGGCCAAACACTTAATGAACTCACCCCTCAGGTGGATCTATTGCAACCTCAGGGTCCCTTCTCTTTTGCCCATTTCTCTTTTCTTTTTCTTTCTTTAAAAATATATTTTATTGATTTTTTTACAGAGAGGAAGGGAGAGGGAGAGAGAGCTAGAAACGTCGATGAGAGAGAAACATCGACCAGCTGCCTCTTGCACACCCTCTACCGGGGATGTGCCTGCAACCAAGGTACCTGCCCTTGACCAGCATCGAACCCAGGACCTTTCAGTCCACAGACCGACGCTCTATCCACTGAGCCAAACCGGTTTCAGCTCTTTTGCCCATTTCTGACCCAAGCTGGGGGAGGAGGCGGCCTGTGCATGTGTGTGCGTGTCCGTGCGTGTGTGTCTGTGTGTCTGTGTCCACGCAGCCCGGGGTGCAGACGGGTGCCCCTCCCCATGAGGAGGGGTCCGGAGCTGGGCACCTGGGCTGAAGGGGAGCTTTGAGCGTTGGCTTCTCTCTGGGACGGCCGGGCAGGCCAGGCGGGCGGGTGCGGCCAGCAGGGGCCGCCAGGGAGCACCCGATGGGAGGGCGGCCGGCCCGGGGCGGTGGCTGAGTCAGGCTGAGCGTTATCTCAGAGGCCCGCCCGCCGGACGGACCCTGCTCCCGCACGCGGGCAGCACTGACGCCAT